TTTTATTATTTTCAATGAAAATTCGTTAGTCTAGTGTTGAACAGATTGATACTTTGCTCAAAATAAATTTTCATCTCATTATAACTTTTTCGAAGCTGCAGCCAGATGACGTTGAAGTGATCCCATGCAAGTTTAAATATTTGTTGCAAAGACCAGTCCAAGTAACTGGTGAAAGGAAGCAGACCTAGAACGAACTGAAGAAGACGAAATGTTAATGGAAAGGCAACAACGATGGTTGAAAAGTATATTATCATAGCAATAGCCGTCGTCAATAATATAGAATGCCCGTATAGAGCAAATACGTTAGCCCCAGTTATGGTGCTAGTGCAGAGCGCGACGATTGCACCAAGTATTTCGACGCCATGAGTCAGAAGTAATTTACCAACGAGAAGATAAATAGAAACTGCTAGTCCGCAACGTGGAATAAAAGGTATTGGTATTGCGACTAGAATCATAAGAGTCACTGTAAGATTAAACAAATGTAGAATTAAAGGTGTAGATGGTTGATGAATATAAACGATTCGTAGATGTTGCTCACTGAGTCGCCTACACTGTTCAGTAATACTCTTCCTCAATATTCTCAAATAGTGCCTTCCTTGTACAGGAAATAGAGGAGATACGGTCACCAGAAGACGTAGAAGATGATACATCACAGGATAGATGACATAAAAATGAAATAACAGAGTAATGGTAAGAAGATAAGATTTGTAGAAAAAATGATGATCGGCCAGAAGGTAAAATACAAATTCAGTGAGTGAAATTGATAATACAATAAACATGGTAGCATTGGCTATGATCGATACGAATGACATAAACTGACTATAAAGGCAGATTGGTAGAAAAATCGCAACACTCATTGTCAAAAACAATGGCACTTGAGTGGCCCAACAAACTGCAAGAACACGCCATGTTACAATGACCGGAATGATTATGGCACTTACTTCAGCGTAAAATTGTTCATATTCCCTATTTGTTTCGAGAAATGTACTAGAAAGGAATGTTTCGATAAGACTGATAAATTGAAGTGGTATATCACTCGTCAGGAATCGGTTGAGTGTAGAAAAGAGTAACATGGTGACTAAAAGCGTCAACGGAATATAGAATGGTGATTTAATTGGCGTCAGACTGATTTGAATAATAATGGCAAAGAGAAATGGTCGGAGAGTGACATCGATAGCATCGAGTAGGAGCCATAGTGTTTTTGTAATAAGAATGAAAATGGCAATAACGATGCATAAATTAAAAGTGGTACTAAAATTAAGATGAGGAAGAATGCCAAGACAACAGTACAGTGCCAGCCCAATCAATTCATAAGTTATAAAAAAACAAATGCTCTGAAATGGCCACAATTTTTTATTCGATTCCAGTGTCCATATTGACGGTAGTAATTGACAACATTTCAAACTAAATGGTCGCAAAATAGCATTGCGAAATGAAGCAATGAAAATGAACCATAAATGAAGGCATACGTGAAAAACCGGTTGCACATAAATAAGAGCAATAGGTATAAGAAACCCATAGTTAAAAAAAAAAGTAAATACCCCGTAGGGTAGCCAAATAAATATAGGTCGATGATAATATCTATAGACAACCTCCGAGCTAGCGCCTAGGCTGATCGCTGGCGCGATCACTTTAAAAATGACTCCATTTGCATAAGCGCGAAGTATGAGGTTCTTGCCACAAACTTTAAAAATAGCGAAAGGACTCACAATGACATATAGTAGTAAATTGAATAGTGACATAATTCTGTCTCCGTAGAGATGCTATTGAATATCAAGCAAAAAATTTCGGTGAAACGACATGTACACTGTGATTTATCCACCAAATTTCGTCTAGTCACTCGTAGACGGGTTCAGATAAGTCACGAGCAAATATATAGAACGAAAAGAATGAAAGATTGCACGTAGTACCGACGAAATAAATTTCGCATAAGAAAAGTATGGTATGATGCGTATGAATATAAATGTACACACCCACGTCTCCGCGTGTGTTTACCTGTGACAGTTTTTTTTTCTCCGCATTGATCATTTCATCAAACAACATATTCGTTTCTTGGTGTGATGCATATCTTCCTGAGTGGCTGTAATTATGTTTGTGAAAAGTAAAAAGGAAAAAATAATTATATTTGATAAGAAAATGGAGAATGGCGCATTTTGTTGGGTGACATTCATTAATGGATTTTTTTCAACTTACAAGAAAAACGATACAAAGTCAATATACAGGTGAAGTAACGCTGAATCAGCAAGTGCTGTGATGTTGTTTGCCACACTTCGATGCAAGCGAATTTCTTAGACATTGCTATGTAGCGTAATCAACAACAACATGGTTATACACTCTGAAATTCCGTCTACATTAAAAAATATAGGTTCCATACGAAACCTTCAGAGCTTCGTCATAGGTCTCAAAATCGGACCACTTTTTATGGCCCAGTTCGGCCTAGCCCAAATCAGTGCAATCTTTTTTATCCAACCCGTAAAACATTTATAGGATCTGATGAATTAAAACTGCTTGTTATAATCGATTAAAATCAAAGGAAATTTAACGTTAGAGCTTAAAAAGCAGGGTTGAATTGAATTAAAAATATAACTATTTGGATCGATTTTCACTAACGGAATAATCGATTCTAATCTAATTTATCAATATCTTTCTTACGTGCGTTAGTATCAATTGGTATCGTATCTCGAACCATCTAATGCATCTCAAAGTCTCATTCGGTTCTATACTTACCATTTGTTGAGCAGCGAAGTCCGTAGAAAGGAACAGAAGGTTAACTTTATAAATTAAAACGTGAGAAAAACATGTTTCGCGCCGAATGCCATTGAAATCGATTAAAAATTAATTAATTCGCACTTAATGAAGTGACAATAGCGTCATTATAATCGATTTTTAGTCAGAAAAAAATCGATGGCAATCAGATTTTGTCTTACGTTAGGATTTCCTTGATGAAAAAAAAAACTGCAGGCCAGGCGGCCCGATAGAATTTTAGACCCCCAGCCCAATTCTTCTTGATGAGGCCCGCCTGGTCAGCAAGAAAAATCTCTATGGGTCGGGTTGGGTGGCCCGTTTTGAGATCTGCTTCCTACGAACAAAAAAGTTTCGTATGACCACAAACAAATCTATCGAGGTTTTCGGGGAACAGATAGCTATATATATTCGAAATAAACTTCTAATTTACTTTGTTCGAAAAAAAGATTAAAGTTTTCGACAAGAAAGATATTTAAGTTGGTTGATTCAAATAAGTATTTACTTGATCTCTGATTAACATACCAAATAGCTTTTGCTTTCGAACTTATTCAAATCGAAGAGATCTTTAATATAATATTTATAGAATGTGACATCGTTGACGTTTACAACAAAATTTTAAAGACAAATGTATTGGTTTGAATCATTATTTTGTACACATTTTTTTCATTTTGCATATGTAAGAAAACAGAAGATCAACAAAAATCAAATCATTCAATTCTGAAACATTCACTACAAAAAAACAAGTTATAATTTTGCTATTAATTCGATTGAATTAATAATGATTCAACACGAATTTGTTGATTATCGTGTATAGATTTAATACAAAATCTATGTTGACATGGTAATAATAGTAGTTTCATCATTAATAATCAATCTATCGCAAAAATCAATGATGATAATGATGAATTATTTTTTGTTGAAATAAATAATATAAAAAGATCCACAGAATGTAATGAATTTGAAAAACTATGATTGAAACTATGAATAATTTATTCATCAATCTAACTACAAAACTGAAGAAGAGAACTACTATAAAAATGCATCTTAGTTTTCAATGATTTTTCTACTCTATTCTATTTGCTCTATACAGAGATTGACAGGCATCGGATATTGACCATAGACGATCGGATTTTTTTAATATTCTATTCATAGGAAATATGGAAAGTATTGTGAATTATTTGAAACAGAGGATGAGCAACATAATAGATAATACCCATTTATTGTATAATAAGCGAATAATGTGTCACTGACATGACAACGTATCTTGTTTAGTCCGCATCTCTTTCATATTATAAAGGATGTTATTGATAGGCACGGTGTG